TTCTGGGAAAATACCCGGCAGGGGGATAGCTGGGTTGAATGGGAATAAATAAAAATTTTAAAAAATTTAATTATGTAAATATACAAGAGAAATGCCTTTATATGACTCTGGGACTTGAGAATATTTTCTGTTTTTTTAAAAAATAACAAAATTTGGAAAAGAGCCATTCAACATCTTCTTTTCTAAAGAGCTATGTTACAGTTATCCTCAACCTACCTTTACTTAATTATTTATCTTCTTTTTTAGATGTATGAACAAGTCCGTAAAAGTTTAGAAATGTGCAGCATTGCAAAGGACATTGAGTACTTTGTGAATCAACGCAAAACTGGCCAGATTCCACCAGGTGCATGGGGTGGCAGGGTGGGCAGGGTTGTGTAAGCAGTTCTATAGTTCGATTTGTCTTCCTTGTCCAGTGTTATTGAGGATGTAAGACACCTGCTTGTTAGTTTCCTGTTATTGTAACAAATACCTCAGGTAAATTCTTATAAGAGAAAAGGCTTATTTTGGCTTACAGTTTTGAGGTTTCAGCCCATGGTGGATTGGCCACTGTGCTTATGAGCCTGTGCTGAGGGAGCGTCTCATAGTGGTCAGGGTGTGGCAAAGCAAATCATTCTTCTCAAGGCAGGGATGTGAAAGAGCAAAGGAGCAAGAGACCTGACTCTTAGAGTCCCCTGTGAGACCATGCACACAGTGACCTGAAGACCTCCCACTAGGGCCCACCTCTTAAAGGTTCTGCCACCTCTCAATAGTGCCAAGCTGGGAATCAGACCTCCAACACATGGGCCTTTGGGGGGTGTTCTGGACCCAAATGACAGCATGTTCTTACTGTTTTGTTTCTTAATGCTTCTCTTAGCACCCATTCTGTATGAGAATTTCTACTGCCCCAACCGGAATGCAGCTGCACCAGGAAAGGCTACAGGAACTAATTTGGCAAGGTAATAGCCAGCTGCCTTTCACATGAAAAAATACTTTTGTTTTATTTTTTGTCTTTTTTGGGACAGGGTCTCACTGTGCAGTTCAGATGGGCCTTGAGCTCACTTTGTAATGTAGGCTAGTTGCAAGGATCCTCCTGCGTCAGCCTCCTGAGTGCTGGGATTGCAGGTGTGTGCCACCACACCCGGCTGAAAACATACTTTTAACAACCTATTTTATTATTAGTGTTTTAAGATAGCCATGTGTGTTGGTGCATACCTGTGATCCCAGCACTCTGGGAGGTTGTGGCAGGAGCATTACAAGTTTGAGCAAAGTCTGGGCAACTTAGTGACTTAGTGAGACCCTGTTTCAAAATTAAAAATATTCAAGTAAAAAGGGTTGGGGATGTAGCTCAGTGTGAAGGTCCTGGATTTAATTCCCAGTGCTGGGGGATAAAAAGAAAAAGAAAGAAAGAAAAAGAAAAAATTGTTCTAACATATATTATATTTTTAAAGTTTGTTTTAAATTGACAGAAATTATGCTTATCTATCATGTGTAAGATATTAGAGTTTCAACATATACAGCACTGCCTTTACTTAGCAACACTGCTAGCTTTTTGGACATAGCACCTTTAGGACAAACATTAAATGAACTTTAGTAGTCATAGTTCAAGGAGGACTATGTCATGCTTCAATGATATTATTCATTACTTGTTTATGAATCGTATACCTTTTTATAGCCTGTATAAACCAAGAGTCAGCATACTATGGTACCCTGTGAAACAAATCTGATTTCTTGTTTGTGTAGGGCCTAATTAAGAACAGTTTTTACATTTTTAAGTGGCTGAAAAAAATCAAAAGGATGCTATTTAATGACATGTGAAAATCATATACAATTCAAATGTCAGTGTTCATATAGAGTTCTAAGAGAAGACAGTGCCCTTAGTGGGTTATGTTTTGTCTGTATCTGCTTTCCCTTGAGAGCTGAGTAGCATTGCGATAGAGATGGTGTAGCCTAAATAATTTACTATTGGGCCCTTTACAGGGAAAGTTTGCTGCCCCTTGTATAAAGAATCCTGAAGGCAGAGAAACAGCTAGAAGACGAAGCTGTTAAATTTTCCAGCCTGGGTTGCAGAGATGGAGCTCTGTGCTCCTGACTGCTATTCATTGTGGCCCATAGCATCATTTGTATGCACCTTGGATTTCAGTAGGTCAGGGGTACAGGTCACTTGCTTCTGAGCTTTCTTGATGCTCCAGTGCAGAAAGCTAAGCTGATTAAAGTAGCTCATTAGAGTATAATATGAAGTAGAAAACTGTAGCATGAAGTAGAAAATTTTAAAAATAACAAGAGCTTATCTGAAATACTTTGATTTTCATTTCTTATAGGCGAGGACCTCTCCCAGTTCCTAAAAGTTTACCAGGTATGGCATCAAGAAAAGCCTTTTGAAATTCCTCTGTCAGATTTTCTTTAGATTGAATAGCTAGAATTTTGAAATAAGGGGAATGAAAAGATTAAATTGACTCAAACTCCCAAAAGAATAAACCTGAATAGAATTTTACTATATATGGTTTGTCAGAGTGAAATTTGATAACTGGTCTATTTTATAGCTTTTTCAAGAGCATTCAGCTGCTGAAGTACCAAAAAAAAAAAAAAAAACTTATTATAAGATAGTCTTAACAAAGGTTATTTTGAGTCAGTCTGCTCCTTTGCCCACCTGCAACTCCTGTGATACGTCTGGTAGAAACTGCATTCTTAGCATCTTTTGTTACTTGTATTTCTTGGATAATTACACGATCCTTGAGGGTGGGCACTTGGTCTTTTCTTGTATCACTTTCAATACCTAACACAGTACTAGGCTCTGTACTAGGCACAGTAGGTCTCAAAAAATATTTACTCTTAGCAGAAACAAAGGTTCACCTATTTACCTTCAAGGGAGGGAGAGAAGAGAACATTTTATGCTACATTTGGCAGTTCAGTAAAAATTTAATGACCAATAGAAAGTTTAGCCGCTGAAATTTCACCTTTGAAATAATAATAATATGATAATTTATATTAATGAATAAGTGATAATTTATTTTATTTCTTGTTACCTTATTACCACTTTGGGACTTCATTTTTATCCAATTTTTGAAGATGATTTTAGTGTGAATGCTAATATCTGGGCATGGATAAGAAATGACAAAGTCATAATAGTAATAGTAATTTCCAGAATGTTCTTTGGAACCAGGCATGGTGGTGCAGGCCTATAATTCCTGCATTTGGGAGGCTGAGGCAGGAGGATTGCTGTGAGTTCAAATCTAGCCTGGGCTACATAAGCAAATTCAAGGCCAGCAAGACTCTGTCTCAAGAGATCTAAAAACCAAAAACCAAAACCTCCCCCTCAAACCAGAATGTTCTTTGGCTTGTAGTCATGACTACCAATTATAGGTTTTATTGTCAGATATATTTTCCTCTTTGGAAACAGCAGTCACCCAATATTTAAGTGCAGTACGTTGGCTTGAGAAGAGCTGAGATCGTATTATGAAAAAATAGTAGTCTAAACTTGTTCCGTGTTTTGCTCTTTGCAGATGACCCTGATTATTCTTTGGTTTCTGACTACAGTTTGCTGTATCAGTAATACAGAGGTAAGAACCTTTAATCTTCACAGTCAAGCTGAACTTGGACTGGTGATTGTGTTTCTGAAGGCACTGACGCTTCTTTAGGTGACCACCAAGAAGAAGCCAGCCCTTGCATCAGGCCAGCACATTGGTGGGTGTGGTGTCCCTTCAGGCTGGCCTGTGTGGAAGCTGACTGGAAACCACTCTACACATATTTGAATGAGGGCATTTCCCTTTAACTATCTTATGACTCTGCTCTTGTTGAACCTTTTGTAGCTATCAGAAATTTACATTTAGGCATGCTCACATACAAAACACACAAGATTCCCCCACTGTTGAAGTCATTTAATCTTCCGAGTACCCCCACATTCTCTTAAAAGGGGGAAGTCAAGTTAAGAAAAAAGTTGTGAAAAAAATGTAGATGTAACACTCACCAAACATACCACAGCACCACAGAGGTCATCCTGTACCAAATTATTACTACTTCATAGTAGCAAACCACAAGGTTTCTCTGGAGAGAACTAAATACCACTAAACCAAGCACAGCTGCGAAGATGACCCACATAGCTGCTGGTTCTCTTGGCACTTAGAGGTTTGGAACATGCCCCAGGTCAAAATCTGTCTTATCAAATGTGAAGGAATACCTCAGAAGCCAAAATAGCAATACTAAATGAAACTCCTTATAAAATATAAGGTACTTAAAAAAAAAGAAACCCAAACAGGCCTCTCCTTGAGTAAAACTATTATAGGTGTATATGAGCAAAGAAAAAAATTCTAAAAGGATGTATTCTTCAACAGGTAACATTTCTTTTTGTTTATCCTGTTTTCTAATTTTTCCACAATAAGAATGTACTACTTCTTTGACTAAGAGCTGTTTTGAAGAGTCAGTCCATTTCCATTTCCCTGATCTTGTGTGTTCCTGGAAGTGACCGGAAGTGGGTGGGCTAGATATAGGAAGTCATAAGAGAACTGGAACAGCTTCTCTTTCACCATCTCTAGTTTGGTATTGGAGACATTTACTATCAGTTATGAAACAAACCAGGTTTAACCCATGGTGATTTTGTACAGTGTTTTATCCACTGAAAACTACTTGGAAGTTAGCCTAGAGGATGTTGCTTCAGTCCGCTGAAAGAACTTACTTTGTGTAGGAGGTGGGGATCGTGCCTGTAATGTGAGGGTTGTGGGAGGCTGAGGTGGGAGGGTCATGCATTTCAGCCCAGTCTAGCCAACTTGACAAGACTGGCTCAAAAAAAAGTGTTGGGGATGTTACTTATTGCAAAGGCCTAGGTTCAACCCCTCAGCACTGCAAAACAAAATACCTATTTTGTGCATATAACTAATAAGCTCTATAGACCGGGAATCAAATTGTCTTAATCAGGTAGAAATACTTAGCTAGTTTCTATTTATATTTCAACATAAATTTTTAAATTGCTTAGGAAATATATTTAATATTTCAGTAAATTTGTTGTAGAGATATGGAAATTGAAGACATAAACCATTTCATTTCCTACCTAGATACAGTTTTCTGACCTACAAATAAATTGTAATTTTTACAACCACTCATCATTTCTTCATCTCATAAGCCTCCTCTTTCTCCCCTCCCTCCCTCCTTCCCTCTTTCTTTCTTTCTTTCTTTCTTTCTTTCTTTCTTTCTTTCTTTCTTTCTTTCTTTCTTTCTTTCTTTCTTCCTTTCATCAGAGAGGACCAAAACCCTTATTAAAAGCAAATAAAAAATGCCTTAAATGGATCCATGGCTTCAGATTCACAGTGAAACCTGCTCTCCAGAACACGGTGCACGATGATGGCATATGGGGCAGGGAATTGGGAGTGCCAAGAGTTTATTTTCATTTTTTTATATCTTTCTTTTCTTGCCTTTACCTGTTTGGGTAAAGCATGTGTGATACGATAGCAAAATACAGTGAATGTTTAAATCAAGCAAATTAATCACAGTAAAAGGTACATTGTCAGTAATCCCCCTCAAAGCATTCCACCTCTCTTAAACACACTCATTCCATCACACTTTATGAAGCAGTTCTGGAAGTCATTTTTCTTTTCTTTTCTTTTCTTTTCTTTTCTTTTCTTTTCTTTTCTTTTCTTTTCTTTTCTTTTCTTTTCTCATCTCTTCTCTTTCCCTTTCCCTTTCCCTTCCCCTCCCCCCTCCCTCTCCCTCTCCCTCTCCTTTCCCTTTCCCTTTCCCTTCCCTTTCCCTTTCCCTTTCCCTTCCCTTTTCTTCGAGTCAGGGTCTTGCTATGTAGTTCAGGCTGGCCTTGAATTCAACTATGTAGTGCAGGCTGGCCGGAACTGAATTCATGATGATCCTCCTACCTTAGTCTCCTGAGCACTGAGATTCTAGTCCTGCACCACCATGCCCAGCTTGGGAAGTTCTTTATTGTGTCTTTAGTTGTGCTGTCCTGACTGCCTCAGTGTCTTAAATCGATGCAAAACGTTTACCTTTCATGGTCATTTTGACTTTGGGGAAGAGCCAGAAGTCTCATGGTGCCAGATCTTGTGAACAAGGTTGATGAATATACACTGTAACATTTTTTGCAAACCTGCCTTTTCCTTAGCTGGCACTCAGCAAGAACATTCACTGTATTTTTTTTTTTATCATTTCTCATAAAGATGCTAATCACTACATGGTTACTTAAGTTGTCTTTCTCAAGTGGTATGATTTTAATATCTGTGCCAGCTCAGTTAATAGGAACTCGACACATACATGTATGATTGACTAAGTTTTAGAAAACAAAAAGAAGGAAGCTTAGTTTAATTAGTAGCAACTTATTATAATACTGAAAATAGTTTGAATGAAACTTTGGAATTGAAATTTAAACAGGAAAATTTAGGAATTTGTGATTTATTCTGCATTTGTTGATTTTAGCTGCTATTCCTGTTCTAAATGCTAACATGTTTAGGGAAAGATGATAATTTTTGAATTTAAAAATACACAAAAATATAAATACATAAATTATCATAAAGCACTGCCATTTTTATCATATTCCATTTTTCATTTAATTCCTCACCATTTGTTTTCCTTCGCTAAACACATTTATGCTTGTTGAATACACTGTCAATGCAGAAGTGGGTGATACTATGAACAGATTAGTCAAGTAACATTTCTTCTTATTTTCTTTCAGAAAAGAAAGCTTTTTCCAATTAGTGCTTCTATGGCATGGAATGAGGCACCCGAGCAGCAGAATCTGTAGCCAAATTTTGTCAGTCAAGAAGACTTTGAAGTGAACCCCTGCTGTAATTTCTTGATATTTTAAATTTATAGTAGACATTTAGTTCAACTTAAGCTGGTAGATTTCTGCAGTTTTTTTGATGACGTTTACAAATTGATACAGATCGAAGAATTATTCTTTCCCAGTCAGTTGCTAAGGTTGTGAAGGAATTATTTCCTACTTGGGAAACAGGGCCGTCTCTGGATTGAAGCGTTGGCTTTTCGGGGAGGGGACAAGGTGGCTGGAGAGGAGTCCAATGATCAGCTGCGGAAGAATCTCCTTTGGCTTTGGGCAGCACGGTGATGGAATTTCCACAGTGATACACACTGTCCATGGTACAAGATTTTAAATTACCTTCCTTTTTGGCTGGAAGGTTTAGAAGGCATTTGATTGCACTTTCTCATTTTGCAGATGAAGAAATGAGGCCCGGAAGTGTGAAATCAGTTTCCTTAAGGCTCTACTAATTAGAGATGGAACTGGGTCTAGAGCACAAACTCATTTTGTATCACTATTCTTCTAATTCATGATGCAGTGGTGCTCATGCTGAAATTTAAAATGCCTAATTTTGCCAGCATTTTTTAACTCAGAAAATTACCAGGGTTTAAATGTTAGATTTATTTTTATATGAATCACTGTGTACTGAACTACAGAGCAGCATATTTAATCTAATCTAAGAAGCCATAGATTGTAATATACCATTATTTTGTGTACCACTAATAAGGTAGGTGGGGGGAGTTGTCAGTTAACTTGTGAGGGGTCATGCATGGCCAAGCCTACTTGAATTTGAGATTGTTAGGTGAAAAAAAGATGCTAGAATCAGTGAAATATGGTATTTTGTGTATTCTCAAGAGAATTTTAGAGTTCCAGAGGCAATCTTCAATCCTGAATCTTCACTGAGAATCTTTTATTTACTGGACGCTGGATTCTTTAAAGAGTCAGTCTTAACCCTTTTGCAAATATCTGGGTCTTGCTTTGTTACCCACAAACAGCAGGGAGGTTATTGCCTTTTGTACAACATTGGTACACAGAAAGTTACACACTTTAATGAATTGCAAGTTAAAATAGCACTGTTACTTATTTGGTATGTTGTGCTCTACGTGACTACAAAAGGCAGATATTTTCCTTTCCTGCTTGGTGCAACAGCTTTCCCAGAACTATGGATAAATTAATTAAAAGACTGAATTTTTTCCTCCCTTTTAAGATGAAGACTACTGAATGTGGCAACGCCTCATGATGACAGGAAACTTGTGTCAGTTGGATATCCTTTTGAAAAATTCAAATTTGCAAATGGCCATTGACCTCCCCAAACTGAACAGGCTCAGGAAATTTTCCTATGCACTCAGAATGGTGTAGTTTTAAGTATATTATTTATTATTGGCAATTCTTCAGGGATTTGTCTTTTCTATCGGTGAGTGTAATTGATGAAAGAGTGTTTCATAAATGGGAAATAATATTTTTATTGCTCTGTCAGTTTGATATGAAGTAAAATAAAGTTTTCTCTTCAAAGCTTTATGCGACCCCCACCCCTTGTCACATTTGCAGTTATTAGAACACAGAAAAACAAATTGCTAATCATGGAGGTCGTGTATCAAATGCAGTGTTACTTCACTGAGATATGCATATAACATACTCAAAGCATTTTTATGAGCACTTAAGTATGTTACAGCATGTAGGTTTGTTCACAGTAAGGGAGTCAGGGTATAGAGTTTATATTCAGGTTTAAGGACTTTTGCCATAGAGCTGGGGTCAGTTTCCTCAGCAGTTTTGGTCACAACCTAAACATCTGTATCAGCACCTGGGAATGTTCCAGGCTCTGGCGTGGGCTCATGTTTTCTGGAGAAAACCTGAAGTTGCCTGAGTCACAGAGCAGTTAAGGCACCCTGTGAAAGAAACTGTGTGTGTGTGTGTGTGTGTGTGTGTGTGTGTGTGTGTGTAGAGGGCTGCTAGTCCTCACAGGAGTGATCCCAGGAAGCACCAACATGGGAGTGAAGAAGTGAGATAGAGAAAGTAAGGATAGCAAAAAGCGTACATTATCAAGCCAGCTACTGAGTGGGCAGCTGGAGCCTAATCCTGCTGGGGACTCTAATCAGTTGGAAGTTGAGGGCTGCTCCTGGGGAGCTTTACTTACCTGGCACATCTGGGCAACCTGTAATGGTCTCAGAGTGGGTTCCAGAAGTCTCAGAGGGTGCTCAGGCCAGGACATAGCTCTGGGCAGTTCAAAGTTGGGTGGGTGCTTACAGAAATGACAGGCACCGAAGGCTTATGGATGTGTACTGACAGTCTTGCCTCTGTGTGGCTCAGATTCATCTGTGCCCACATTAATTTGATTCTATCCTACCACTTTCTTCAAGACCCAACTTTCAAACATTCATACACACACACACACACACACACACACACACACACACACACACACACGGTAGTTTAGTAGGATAAGCTACAGTCCTGTTGCTACAGACAGTCCTAAATCCATAAATGATATGAGCAGTGGTCATCTGCTATCTGCAAGCCAAGGAGAAAGGCCTGAGAAGAAACTAGCCCCACTGGCACATTGATCTGCTTCCTCTTGGATTTCCAGCCTCTAGAATGGCAGAAGAATGAATTTCTGTGTTTAGGACACTCTGGTATTTTGTTATAGTAGCCAATTTTACATTCTATATTGGGACATCATGTTGTACACCATACTGAAGGAATTCATGAGTAAAAAAATATTGTAAACAAAACAAATAAAATAAATCACACTCATGTTATAGGTTCCTGATACACTTGTTTAGTGATTCTGCTTATTTAGGTTGTTTGATAGCAAGGTCTCTTGTAGCCAAAGATCATCAGCCCTGTGGGATCTTAGCCTCAGTTATCAAGCTCTTGTCAGACCTTGTTTGCTGAAATTGCTAATTTATATTTATCACCATACATAGGAGCACAAAGATGTACCCCAGAAAAATTCCCAGGCTCTAGACATATTCCTCCCTACCCTATCTTGCCCCTTTTGCCTCATGATAATCACTTAGTCCTGTGGGGATGGTTACTCCTTTCTTGCTGGTCTAGTGGCTGGAGGAATCCTAAATGACCAGGTGCTGGCCAGTTTTAGTGGGACCCTTTTGATGTCCCTGGTAGTTTTATCCCCTGCCAAGCTCTTCGAGCCTGGAGCTTGAGTCCAGCAAAGCTGAAGGTGAAGGGATAAGAAGCACAAATTCCTTCACATAGGTCAGTGGAAATCATGGTGACATAGGTCACTCACCTCTTCTTTCACAGACCTGTGTTTTCTACCTGTTGGAATTATAACGAATATCTGAATCTACCTATTGGAATATTGTGGCCATGTAAGCACCATATAATATCTCATCTGGGCCAGTGTCCCAACTCTGCAAATTTTGGCACATGGCAGAGGGCAACAGTGCATGGTGGAGGAAGACAGCAAAAGCAGGAGGGAGTGAGACAAGCCTCTTTCTGTCCTTTATATTGTATCCAGTCTACTGGGATTAGGATGGTGCCAATATAATCAGTGGACTTAACCAGCAATCACCCACTGTTAATCCCAGCATTATACGATGAATCCATCACACACACTGTAGATTCAGCCACCTCCAAATAAAGCCTATGACTGAATGAAGCTTTAGGGGGACATCTACACACAAACCATAACATCTGCTGTAAGGGCACTTACAGAATAGCAGACTTGTAGACATATTATAGCAAAAGTTAGAAGTCAATTAGAGGGCTGTAACCACAGGCTCTTGTTGCCTGTCATATAGCTAGCTTACTAAATTCAGCTAAAACCTTGACTGTCTTGTCCCAGCTTTATCCATCAACAATGACAGGTCAAGCTAACTGTGTTTCCTTTAGTTAAAAGAATATGCGTTGATTCTAGCTTGCTTCAAGGCCAACATGTTTGGGGAAGACTGGCCCACTCAAAGACACATTTAACTCTGCTTGCCCCACACAAATAACTCCTGTCATCCCCCAGATGTTCCTATACAATGGTGAACATTTCCTCTTAAGTGAATTGCTAAAAATTGCCTTGTCTAATGTATGTAGCCTATTATGTATCCACCTGTTATCAGCTTCGTGCTGCCTGCCTGCAAACCATATTTAAACCCCATACAAAGTGGACTCGGGCGGATGATTTGAAAACTCAGTTTTCCACAGCCGTCTGGTGTTAATAAAAGTCTGCCTTCTCCACTCCTCAGTGCAAAGAGTCTTTCTTTGGTGTTCTGCAACACTGTTAACTACAAGATCCTGGACACTTGCACAGAACAGTTCCCAAAGCCCTGCATGTGGACTTCTCCAGGGAATTTGACCAGGTTTTCAATAGGACGGACTAGATCTGGTAACAGCCTGAGGTGTGGGATCTCAGCATTGGCTTTTACTACTTGTAGGTAAGAGTTCTCTCGAGATTTAGACAGTATAAAAGGACACATTGATGCCATGAAGCTTTTGCTGTCGTAACTTTCTATAGCCCACACTATGTTTCCCAGATGCAGCATGTACTTTTTCATCCTTACTCTCATTCTCTTTTTCTGTGTACTCAGTCTAAGGTCACTCTGCAGAGCCAGTTTCTCTCCCACCTTTCATTTTTGCTTTCTTGAATAAACTTTGCCATTGCTTTTGGCTCATTTCATTCAATTCTTTGTTTGAGGTGAGAAGAACCTGGAATTGAACTCCAGAAGGAGAACTGAGCTATCCAGAACCTGGTAACATTTAGTTGGTGAGCCCCTTTTAAGAAACAAGCTACCCAATAACAGTACTATGTTTAGGGTTTAGCCTCAGCCCCTGCACTACTTGGTCAGATAATCAGCAGTAGTCACTAGATTAGAGTTGGTCATAGTTTCCATTTCTCTCACCAGGACTGTTCTGTTCATGAGCCCACTGAAGAAGCACTGGAGTGACCCATGGCATTGTCCAGCTCACTCCACTGGATGAGTCAGCCTAGCCAGTTGATCGATCGTTCCACACCTTCTGTGTGTTGGGTAGTCTCAGATGGCATTGATAAAGAGACACAAAGATTCACCCGTTCTGTTGCCTCTTCCCACAGGCCCACCTACATGCTTCTTCTCTGGCTTTTTCATTTTCAGTCTTTTTTTCTCTGACCGGTCAAGTCATGTGCCACTGCCTAGATTGAACTGCCTGCCCATCTATCTATCTATCTATCTATCTATCTATCTATCTATCTATCCATCTATCATCTATCTAGGGCTGTTTCTCCCTTCACAAATAGAGCTGGATAGGGCAGCTCTATTTGTGTCAAGAAATCCAGCTGATGAGCTGGATTTCTTGACACACTGTCTACTGGCATCACTTCTCTTCAGGGTTTTCCGGTCACTCCTGAGTGGGTCTGTAGCGTGATAATGTAAGAAACTGAGGCCCTGTCTTTTCTATTAAAAGATATAAACAGGAGGGCCTTCATTTTAGACTATAGTCCACCCTAGGTGGCTCCACCCCTCATGCTGAAATTACGGAAACACCTAAATTTTGGGAACATAGCAACAGACCAAAGATAGTGAATCAATAGCTAAGGACTTTCTGTTACCCACACCCTCTCCCTTCCCATTCTTCCTCCGCCTCAGCAATTCTTCAGTTCCTCCTCTTGCACCACTTAAACTAGCCAAATGCAATAGACTGTAAGCCTGTGAATTCAGTTAATGAGTTTAAAGGATAGCAGCTTTCCATGCGTTAGGATTTAAAAACCCTTCTTTCCTGTTGCTCAGCTGCTCAGCTGCTGCCTCATGTCTGAGTGCAGATGAGTTCTTCTGCAGAAGTAAATTTTAAACTTTGCCTTGTCGAGTCTTCTTGGCTGATGTCTGAGTGCATTCTTTCTGACAATTTGAGTCTGGAGCTTATTTCCAATAGTAGCAAACCATGTAAAGACCAACAATTAATCCATATAGCTGACCTATTCTGAACCAAGCTCGAGGTTTTCTTCTCCTCCATTACTTATGAGCTGAAGGAGAGGCATAGGTGCAACAGGGGAAGGTGATTGATAGGTCTGCGTTTCTTGTTTGAGAACATAAATGTGGTTTCTGGCTTTGCTCCAGTCTGGTCCAGAATGCACCATTTGCATGGCACGACAAATTGCTGGTGTACTTGCCTGACTATGAATAAGGACATCTAAAGGAGGCTACAGTCATTAGAAGAAACATCATTTATTCCCATATTTACGGGTTTTTATAGTTTTATAAAAGACATCTTTTTATTTCATTTATTTATTTGCATCTCTTTAAATACTGCCCTAACAGCTTCTGTGAATGACCTAAGCTTGTAATTTTCTTCAGTGCAGCAATAACCAACACATTTTATTTTCTTTAGAGCTACACTTGCACCTGTGTCTTTAAATGCTAATGATGTTGCACAAGACTTTCCACCTCCATTCCACCCTAGTCTCTCAAAGGAGAAGCCTTAATCATGGTGATGCTGTAGCACAAACATATCACTGTTGCATTTCCGGTGAGACTCTTCCCATCTGGCGGGGTATGGAGTAATTGTAGAAAATCCCAGGCTGACACTGTACTTTAGAGTACCCAGCTGACTGAGTTTGAGGTCTCCCAGAAGGAGGCCCTAAGAAAGGATTTGAGATCAAGTAGTTTATTTACAAGATGAGCACAGAAAACACCAGTCATGCAATGGGAAATTAGAAAGGGAAGACAAGGAAGTGAGTAAGAAGTATACTACTAAATAGGTTGCTGCAAAGGGAAACTGGGGCTTGATTCCTCTGAAGGACCCTGGGAAACAGCACAGAACATAGGCTTCAAACTTTGTCTAATCAAGGGATGAGGGAGCTGGGTGTTTGTATTAATTTGCTAGAATAGTCCTAACAAGGTATCACACACTGGATGGCTTAAACATCAAAAATTTGTTTCACAGCTCTGGAGGCTGAAAGTCCGATACCAAGGTGTGTAGTTGGCTGCGTCATCTGAGACTATGCACGAAAGATCTGTTCTTGACCTTCTTCCTCACACTGTAGATGCCCATTTTTTTCTCTATTTTTTCTCCCAACATCTTCCTTCTAGGCATGTTCCTCAGTCCAAATTGTCCCCTTTTTAAAGGACAACCATCGTGTTGGGTCAGCATCTGCCTTTGCAGATCTCATTTTAACTTGATTACCTTTGTAAATATGCCCTCTCCAAATAAGACACATTCTAGGGGTTTGGGCTTCATCATATCAATTTGGGGAGGTGACACAATTCAACCCATAGCTGTATTTATAAGCCAACTTCCATGTGTCACTCTGGATTGCTGCAGCCTGCCATGCATGTGGCCAAATGGAGCTCTGAGACAAGGAGATGCTGATTCTTGGAATATGGGACGGTGTACTCAGAAATGTAAGTGGCATGGTGTATGAGTGGGCGACTAGCAGTGTCTGGTGCTTTGGTGATACACATAACTATTGCTATAACTCATATAATTTTTTTACTTTTTAAAAGTAGGGGCAGTCATGAGAGGGAGAATAATAGAAAAAAGGACAAGTTTAATGTTTTGCTGCCTATGATAACAAAAGTCTGTTAATGCAAGAGATCCCCTCTAAGAAGACTCTTCACATTTTTTGGTACTTGCTTGTTCTGTAAGATTTTTCAGGACCTGGAATTTAGCAGTAACATGATTCCTTCTCAATTTTACAAAATATATTTTGTAATCAAGAATGATGAAATAATGCTTCCTACAGAGAGACAAACAGGAAGTAGTGAACTACCGTATTTGTAAAATGAGTGACATACATCTCAAACACCTGAAAGAGGTTTCACCATTGGGAAATTGCCACCA